ACGAAAAATACTAAATAATTGAAACATGAAATATAAATAAATAAACAAATGATATAGCCTTAAGCAGCACACAAACGTCCAAGCATGCACAATAAACAAAAAGTTAGGTTAGGTTAGTAATAAATTAGTGACGTTTAGAAAATGCATTAAATAAGCAAGGTAATTGTGTCAAACGCTAGCAAGACTCAAATATTTACAGCCTAAACAGTAAAAGTCTAAAATTCTTTCGCAGCTGTAGCCCTCACAGCAAGGAAAACTGCTGTGCCATAAGTGAGGTTAAACACGAATTTTTCGTTCGAAAATCAAGCAAAAGTTATTAAATTCTTTGACCAAGCGCAGATTTCGGCGCACACTTTTTAATGAAAATCTAACAAATAAATTATACAGGAGGCTGTGTTTAAATGCAGAAGTTGGCTGGGAGGCGGGGGTGAGGCGAGTAGCCGGTGGCACGGGCGGAACTGTGAGGCATAAATGTTTAAGGCCAGCTGGCACTCGAAAGCAGATAAGCATTATTTAAGAAATATGCCAAGTGCGTGTTTATACATAAAGACATACACACGCACACTCAGGCACACACACACACGCACACATACACACACAGGCACAGTCACTTAGCCTGAGGGTAAAATTTACATGAAGCTAAGCAAATGTTTGCGCTGTCGCATGTTTTGTTGTTGAATTTGTTGTTATGTTGTGGCTTGTTGTTGTTGTTGCTGTTGCTGTTGTTTACTCGTATTGAAGAGCAGTTATTAGTCGTAATTAATTAAAGCAAAACATTTGGACTAATTGGTATAAATACCACAGAGCAAATGCCTTGCTTTGCTCTGCTTTGATGCGATGCGATGCGATGCGATGCGATGTTTGATTTGGCTAAAAACCAAGCAGAAAGCAAATGTGTGGTAGCAGCTGATAAAAGCGCATATTACAGATATAGAGAGCATGAGAGATAGCCAGAATGGGATAGAGGTGGCCGCACTTAACGAGCAGCCTTGAGGGCCAGTTCACTTTCAAGTCTTGCGGCACTTGAATTCTAATGGAAATGGCACATAAAACAGCAAGAAAAAGAAAACAAGTAAGACTGTTTTAGTGCCTGACTGGCAGTTAACATGTCTGACTTGCAGATACCCATTAGTTTCTGTCTTTGGATGTAAGAAAGTGAAGAAATTAAAATGCGCATGTTTTAGGAAGTTCAACTCAAGTTTTTAGCTTTTCTGGTATTTGAGATCAACGAGAGCTTTTTGACGGGTTGACAGATAAACGAATGGACGCAAGAAGAAGTCTAAGTCCATATGGCCTAGTTCTCTAGCTCTTATAGACTCCGAGTTGCGTGAGTTCTTAGACACGCAGACACGCAGATGGAAGAACTGATAAATAGGCAGACGGGCGGAAGGACAGACAAATGGATAGACAGGCGAACGGACAAGCCTTCATCCACTTAGCTACTAATCTAGCGCTCTAGCTCTTTTAGATTCCAGGTTGCATACGAATAGATGGCTTGAGGTATAGCCAGACAGATAGACAAACCATAGCTGAAGCAAATGGGAAGTCGTTGCTTCTCAGGAATCTAAACTTTACACAGGTAGACCACGCCTACTACTCCCAGTTATCAACTTACAAAAAGCAATATGCCCGATTTACTCACTTCTAGCGGGTTCAGGGTATACAAGAAAAAAAGACAGCAAAACTAAGGGAAAACCAAAAAAACAAGAACCGGAGCCAATTCGCATTGGTCTGGCCCCGAGGACAACGTGCGACAGCCGGCAGGACATGGATATGGACAGACGGCACAAACGGGACATGGCGATGAAATGTACAGCAACAACAACAAGAGCAGCATTGGCATAAAAAAAAAACGGAAGAATACTTGAAGTACACGATGAAATTTTCTTGTCTTATTTTTTTGCTTTGTTTTTTTTTTATTTTTTTTTTTTTAGCAAGTTTTCGTGCTCTTTGTTGGTTTGCTGGCAATGTAAACACATTAGATATATCTCTATCCCTGTCGCTATCTGTGTCGGCATCTCTTTCATGACGAGCGAGCTGGCTCTATTTGTAGCTAAAGTTTTATTTCACAGAAATATATATTTGCCTAACAATAAAGGCAGCTGGCAACTGGATGCGTTCGGCACACAATAGACAATCACTTATTGCCGGTGTGCTGAACGCACTTACTTTGCATTTTTACGCATTTCTTTTTCACTGGATTGTTGAGTTGAGATTGAGCCAAGCACGCGCCAAGGCAGGAGCGAGCCAGCAATCAAATGCAAGAGCGAGAGGGAGAGACAAATCAAATGACATTTGCATTTCTGTAGATTTGCCTTTGGATTGCGCTCGTTTCTTGCCCATCATGGCAATAGATTCTCATTTTCTACCGCTTGGCGCGTGTCCAATTGCCACACACATACAGGCGAGCGCTTCCATTAACCTCCCTACACATACACACACTCTCTCTCTCTCATTCACTCACACTCATTCCCATGCACACACTAAATATTCACTAAATGCAACCAAATTTTGTCATTTGTTTCAGACGTGATTTGATTACATAAAAAAGCGAAGATTTTTCGAGTTTGCTTGCCAAAAAGTTCTTAAAGCTGACCGAATTGCTACTGCGACTGGAATTAGTGCTGTGTGGCTGCCACAAAGGCCAACTGCTTAAAGTAGTTATCAATATATACGAGGGTAAGTCGAAGCAGTTATATAACAAGATAAATTTTGTCATGAAGTGCACTGAAATATGAATTTTATTTTATAGCAGTTAAATAAGCAGCAAATTTATGGCACAATTGTTTAGTTATAGCTAAGATATATTGTCCTCAAACGTCTAATGGTTGTGACATCCTGAAGAATTGTGTTTGCAATATATGTCTATGAAAAGTTTAAAGTTTCATTTACATATTTATTTAATGGTATAATGGTTTACAATTGACAGTATGCGTATAACAGTTTGACTTTTTATGGTAGAACTATATATAAAAACTCTTAAAAGTGCCTAAAGTTTGTAGCTAGGGAAAAATTTAATCATCGTATAGAACGTTACGTTTTAGTCAATTCAATTTTTATGCAAAAAATTTACTTTGGTAATTTATAGAGCTCTGTAAAATTTAATTTATTATATCATATTTATAAATTGTATAACAGTTTTTTTAATATGAGTTTTTTTTATTTGCAATGGCAACTGTTATACAAATATATAGAATTTTTCAAAAATTTTTATATTTTGTCATTAGATGGCAACTCTGGAAACTCAAATATAATAATATAATATATTATCTCTTTTACAACTCTTATAGTCTTTCTCTTTAGAATTATTTTTACAACACAAAAAAAAATGTAGTTAGTTGGCAACTCTGAAACTCGAATTGTCAAGTATAACAGTTTGCTTTGTTGATAAACTTTTGTTGCAGCCCACTCATTTTCAGGTATTGGATCAGTGTCAAAGCTTTGCTCGAACTTTTATTTCATTTGAGCACAGGTCGTCGTCGCTTAGGTAACGGATTTGGATTCGGTTTTGGATTTGGGCACGTACCCACAAGATGGTGGTGCATCTGCTGTCAACAGCTTGAACCACATGGGTGTAAGTGTGTGTCTGTGAGTTTGTTGTATTTTGTTTTCTTTGTTTGACAAAGTCCTTTATAATAAATAGTTGAGTCACTTAGGGGGATTAATGTTGAAATTAGTTGATGCTGCTTGCTGACAGTTTCTGATGACAAATCAGTTGGGACTCCTCAACGAGTGACAGCAGCAGCATCAGCATCAGCCACACATGCTGAATATTAGATTTACCACAGAATAACAGATTAATTTGTATTGCTTTCGAAATGAAGTCTGTCAACTGCAGAAGATTTTCATAATTTGCGGTAATTTTCCTTTGACATAAACTGCAAAATGGATTTATATAGAAAGCTTTCAGCTTTGCAAATGACATTTTAAATTCAAAACACATTTCTAATGAAATGCTTTGAAATTAAGTTATATTTAAGCCATAAGTGAATTAGAGAGTGGTTTAAAATTTTTGATTTGGCGTGCAGAGTCGCAATGAGACAAATACTGCGTTAAGTATTTTATATAATTATGATAAATGAAAGAGGAACAATACTTAGCCTGATTATCTTTGATTAAGCCTAATATAAGTTGGTCAAGTTTAAAATGCAAGACAATAATGACTTAATTAATTTTTGAATAAGGTTTTCAATTTCTTAATATTTATTTTTCTATAATTGTCAATTGTCAAAAAGAAAAAAAATTGTCCATAAAAATTAAAGAGAAATCCCAACCAAGTATATAAGAATTTCCTTAAGAGAACACAAGCTTGCATTACTTCTTATACAATTGCGTGTGTGTGTGTCAAACATTTATATGTAATGCACAATGTGCAGTCTCTTTTACACTCATATCATGCGTCATAACATTGTGTGCTTCGCGCTGTTCAGCGCCTGACTCCCACCTCAAATGTCCCACTCTCACCACAAACGTAGATTGTTTAAAGAGAATTTAAGAGAGTCGACTGCATTTGATCACACGAAATGTTACAAGAATATGAATATTAAATATTTTAAATATACATAAATATCAATCTATCTCTCTATCTATCTTTGCCTTATTGATTATCAATCAAAATCTTTATATAATTAGTTGTCTAAATAAGTTATTGTTTGTTATATATGCGCTAGCCATAGTGAACACACCAAAGTTTTGTTATTTGCTGCTAATTTTCTGAGTTACTTTGCCCTTGTATGACTCGCACTCTCTTTCAGTTTCTCACTCATCACGTGCTTGTGCTTAACGTTCGTTGAGTGTTCGCATTACTGCGCTCTTTCTTTTTTTTTTGTGTTGTTCAGTTCTTCAACTGCTCGTGCTGCTATGCTCTTTGACTCACGCTCGCACTGCTACTCTCTTTGACAAACGCTCCAGCTGTTATGCTCTTAACGTTCGTTTCGTTTAGTGCTTCGCTCTCACCCACATAAGCACAGAGTTTGCCGGTTTGAGCGCACGTCTCAGTAGCTGTTATGGTTAGTGGCGTTTCAGCGGGCGGCTGAGTAAGACGCAAAGAAAAGTGTTTGGGTAATTGAGTTCTGCGCACTTCGACTTCACATCCTCTGCTTGCTTCATCCCTCCTCTAATGGCGCTCGTAGAGCTATTTTTTGTGCTGACGTTTCTTGGCGCGCTGTTCTACAAATGGTCCGTATCCAGTTTTGCATACTTCAAGCGACGGGGCGTGGCCCATGAGCGGCCACTGCCATTCTTCGGCAATTTGCCGTTAAGTGTTATGCTTGGAAACGATTCGTATGTGAGGCACAGCATTCAGCTGCATCAGCGGCTGAAGCAGCACAAGGTCTACGGAGTATACAACCTACGAGAGCCGCTCTACTATCTATCGGATAGCGATTTGATAGGCCAGGTGTTCATCAAGCATTTCGATACGTTTACCAATCATCGCCCGGGCATTGGCAACGAGCACGACACAGGCGATATTTCTGTTATGTCCAAATCGCTGTTATCTCTGCGCGATCGACGCTGGAAACAGATGCGCAAAACCTTGACGCCTGCCTTCACAGGTGTTAAAATTCGTCTAATGTTCGAACTGATTAACAGCTGCAATGTGGAAGCTGTGCAGTATGTGGAACGCAAGCTACGGACGAGCGAAGGCGAGGGCATTGAGCTGGAGCTCAAGGAATTCTTTACACGCTATACGAACGATGTGATTGCTTCGACGGCCTTCGGCGTGCAGGTGAACAGCTACGTGGATGAACAGAATGAATTCTTCACATTTGGCCAGCGGGTACTCCAATTCAGCTTCTGGGGCGGCATCAAGGTCTTTCTCTACATCGTAATGCCCAAGATAATGAAGGTAAGGCCAAGACCTTTAATTGGCTTGTAACTTCTATTCACTTATTCCGCTCCTTCTCTTCAGGCTCTGCGCGTGCCTGTTATCGACTTGAATAATGTGGCCTACTTCAAACGCCTGGTCTTTGGCGCCATGGAGCAGCGCAGGGAGCAAAACATTGTGCGCCCTGACATGATTCAGCTGCTGATGGAGGCGCAGCAAGCAGAACAGCAGCAACAGCAGCTGAAGGAGGAGCAGGGTCAGCAGCTGAGTCAGGATGCAGCTGCGTTCAGTGATGTGGATCTATTGGCACAGTGTCTGCTCTTCTTTTCCGCTGGCTTTGAGACCGTTTCCACCTGCCTGAGCTTCACCACATACGAGCTGCTCATGAATCCCGAAGTACAGCAGCAACTTTACGAGGAAATTCTGGCCGTGGAGGAGCAGCTAGCGGGCAAGCCACTGGACTACGACAGCCTCATGGGCATGAAGTATCTGGATTGCATTATCTCCGAATCCTTGCGCAAATGGCCGCCTGCTATTGTCATTGATCGCATGTGCTCGGCGGACTTTGAGCTGAAAGATGAGGCGGGAGCATTGATCGTGAAACTGAGCAAGGGGGACCTCGTCCATGTGCCCATTGTAGCGCTCCATTACGATCCGGATAATTTCGAGGAGCCGGAAAAGTTTCGACCCGAACGCTTTGACGAGGAGCACAAACATGAGATACGACCCAATACGTATGTGCCCTTTGGCGTGGGTCAACGCAGCTGCATTGGCAATCGACTGGCTTTAATGGAAGTCAAATCGCTCATCTACCAAATGGTGCTGCGCTTCCATCTGCGGCCCGCCGAGCGAACTGTTCGCGACATGATGGCCAGCATCGAGGGCTTTCGCATGGAGCCACGTGAACTCTTCTGGTGTCGCTTCGAGACCAGGAAAAAGTCAAACTGAGCAGCAGTAACAGATTGTTGAGCCCAAACTGATTAAAGCTTCGCTTGAAGCTTTAATACTCTTTGCATATCAGCTTGCTCTTAGTTTTTTAATGTAATCAATAAAAATATAAATAAAATAATTTGTTTTCATTAATTTTAATTGAAATTCCTTAAACAGTTCATTTTCAAGTCAGCTTAAAGCTTAATGTTTTCGAGTAGTTTAATCAAATTAAAGCTTTAAGTTGATTGTTCGTCGATATTTTTAAACTAAGCTTTTTAAAAAGCTGTTTTCAGACTTAAAATTTCTGCTTCGCTTTGCTTTTATGTGTCTTTCCAATTTCTTTTATAAAGCGGAAGAACTTTCAGCAAGCGATATAAGCTTAAAGCTGTGCGAAAAGCTCTTTCATATTCCATCTTTAATCAATCTACTTTTATTGCTAGCTCATAGCGACTTTATATAATTTTTTTCTTTAAATGAGAGCTGTAGGCTGCTTAATATTTGCATTTAAAATCCAAGCTTTATGACCTGATAATAAAAGCTTTAAGCTGTTCACAAAGTTCATTTCGAATCCAAGCTTTATGAGCTCGAAGCTCTTATGTCGGATTAAAGCTTTAAGCTGCTTTCACAGTTCATTTCATGCAACCTTTAATATGATATTACCTCAGCCTATTCTTTGATGTGCCTTTAAAGCCGCATGAAACACGTATTGCGGTTAAATCTCAAACCCATTAAGTGCTTTCAAGGCTAGTCATGCATAAAATTATGCAAAAATATATATTAAAAACAAATATAACCGGAAAATCGGGCAATTTATTATGTTTTTTTTTGCTCTTCTTCTACTTGCTGTTGTTCGCGATGAAAAGCTGACAAATTTGGCGTGGCAAATGTTGCACATGGCTGGTGGCAGCGGCGACAAGGCGAGTCATAACACTGTCACGACTTGACAAGAGCTATGTGTGTGTGTGTGTGTGTGAATATATGACTGGGCGACTGTGGTTACAACAGCAACAAGAATATAAAAGCCGCAACAGAAAACAAGAGACGTGTAAAACGAAATCACACGCGGGCCAACAAACCAGCGCAAAATAATGTATGGAGGTGGCAAAGAAGATGGAGAAGAAGAAGAGCAAGAGCTGAAGTTTGAGGTATGGGTCACACACACACGCACACCTACGACCACCCACACACAGTCATGTTGTTCGCGCAGGACATGGGACACAAAGGCACATTAAGGATTATTTATTGGACGTTATTTTTCAGGCGGCATTAAAATTTTTTGGCTTTTTTTCGTTACAATATGAATTATATTTCACTTGTGTCATAAACCGCGTAAAAAATGCGCTTGCAACAGCATGGAAGCAGCAGCAGCAGCAGCAGCAACAGAAATGCGCACGCTGGAAACTTAAAAACATAAACTGATTCGCGTCTATAAAATATTTAATATGTTGACGTGAACTTTGGCGCTTGAAACGCGGCACTGACAGATATATTACGCTGACTTTAGCGCCTATCGTTTGTGGCTGTTATCGATAAATTTACATAAATGCTGCTCTACGCTTGTTGCTAATATGTAAAGACTTTTCGAATTGAAAGGCAAATTGAATATGTGAAGTAGTTTTATTAAATTTCAACATTTCATTGATTTGATGTTATCGATATACTTTAGACTTTGTGAATTTGCTGGGCATTGGACAGATTTGTTTTGTCGTTAAGTGTTTTATTTTATGCTATTCAAGATTTATTTGTTTTCATTTGCTTTTTTGTGTAACAATATACATTCATCGTTTTGCAGCTATTATCGATAAATTTGTTTAATAATTGGCTTTTACTAAATGCTGAATTTGCCCCTCTGGTATTAGCTGGTTCATTATTAAAGTCAAAAGAGTTGTTTTTATTGATGATGCGCATATTAATTGTCTACAATAATCCATTGATGTTGTTATCGATAAGTTGTCTTGTGCTTATATATATATATAAATTATTTCAGGGTGCCTTCTTTTAGAGAATTTGAATTAGATCAAAGCTGAAGCGTGCTTCTGATTCGTTACTGCTTTTCCAATATACAAATATAAATATCGATTAATATTGTGAATACACTTGACTGTGGTATCGTTCAGTTGTGTAATGACTCTTCTTTATTCTTAGCCTAAATACATTATGTATAAAAAGTTCTGCCATTGAGTGCAGCTACAAAACGGGAGGTGCATATGCAGATTAGTATTAATTCTTAATCGATATATAAAAGTTATCGATAATTGATAGTCTAATGATGTGTGAATTATACTTATGCTGCTAATTATTGATTATGAGCTCGCTCTTCTCACCAATTGATGAGGCACTGATACAGAGTATCTCTATCTATCAACTATCGATTAGTATTACTATCGATAAGCTGCTCTCAGCAAAAGTTCAAGCCTTGGCAACTAGTTTCTGTTATTTTTGAAAAGCAAAGTTATTTCTTAAGTAAATTTCTCGACTTTAGCAATTCTTTTTGTTGTGTTTCTTAAACGTTTGACATCGTCGTGAAAGTTTCTTAAGCTATCGAAGTGTGAGTAAACATTTATTTTTTTAGAGTTTTCTGCTGTTCTTATTGCAAAAGTTAAGATAATTTCACTGCTTGAAGGACTCGTTAAAATCGTAAAATTCATAAACTTCCACGGCTTGATTTATTGGACTTGCCGTCCAGTTAGCCATTTGGACGATGTATTCACTGGGGGTCAAGTGCTTTGCTTGGCGTTGGGTCATTAAAGAGTCGTATAGCGCGATAAAAAAATGCAATTAGCTTGTACACACACACCAACGCCAACACACACTCGCACACACAATGTAACACACGTAATTAGCCGCATATTTAACTTTGGTCCGCTGGTTCATAAAACTTTCAACGTGGTTCAAATTAGTGGCGCAATTTTTGTTGCTGTTGCTTCTTCTTTTTTTTTTGTTTTTTTTTTTTTATTGCCAAAGCTCTTTCAGTTGTTGTTGCCGTTTTGCTGTTTGTTGTTTTTATGACCGAAGTATGTTAATATCCTTGTCAGAGACCTGCAGCTGCTGCAAGGATAACTCAAAAGTCTGGGCTACTTTTTATGCCCCTGTGCAGCCAGTGAGTGTGCTGTCATGGGGCATATTGGCTTGCTGAGCTCGAATGTGCCTGATGTGGACATCGATTTTTGATCAGGATCAACAGCTGAGTCCCTACGCCTATCTGTTTCGTCTCTTTCTACGTCCATCTATCCAGCCGATTGTTCTTTCGCCTGTCGTTTCCTTCGTCGTTCCTGGTCGTTCTGTCTATTCAATTCGTCCATCCATATACAGATCCATCCGTTTGTCCTTCCACATGTCCGCTCCTCCGTCTGTGCCTAACCCACGATCGTTCCTCGAGCAGCTCTTTATAGACAGCTGGAAGTGCTTAACTTAACTTCTCTCTCCTATAGTCCAGCTCAAGTTTGTTTTTAACATTTCTACAAAAATCGATAAAAATCGATTTGATTTTCATTTATTTAAGTATCTGCACGTCTTTAGCTCTGAAGTCATCAAATTTAGTTAGTAAAATTAAGCCAAGACTACACAATCATCAAGTGCTTCACAGTTGGCAGACTGCTTACAAAAAATTAGAATATTTTCTATATCGGCTCGACATGGCATTAAGGGTATTTCGTTGTTGAACATGTCCGATTAGAGTACTCTGACTTCGCGCACTTGTTTAGCTTGCAGAGTCGCCGTCAACGCGTCGTATGCGTAATCTGTGCAAATCTAAGCAACAAAACTCGACACTGTTTACAAAAAGCTTATCAATCAATTCTGGTTAGCAGCAGCAGCAGCAGCAGTCGCATCAGCCTAGCGCAGCCAGCAGCTGGGGGAACGTCTTCTAGCTGACAGAGGTCATAAAAAAGAAGAAAGGCAAAAACTTTGGCGCCGCGACCGACAGACGCCAAGCATATCCTGCAACCCTTAAAGACTGAGACTGACGAGAAACGAAGCCAGTTGCTGTTGGGCGTAGCCGACTGCACAATGCGCGTTCATGGTGTGAGAAAGATAAATTCTAAAAAATTGTACAAAAATTTGTGTAGGTCAAGAGGTATTCAGGCTGCTTGGAAGAGAAGGTTAAGTCATGCTCAAGCTGGCTTAAACAATAAGCCAAGAGGTATACCGGCTGGCCTGAAGAGAAGTTGAACTCTGTGGGAGATATAGGTTTCACACGAGTTCTCTTCGATGTCTCAGTGGACCAAGCAATTTGGGTATCTATAAAAAAATGTCATAGCTTTTAGCAACAACCAATACACTCTGCTTCTGTCACGCTGTGAACGGGCATAACAAGAACTTGGACAATAAAAATTGCTAAAGTCAGCTGTGGCAGACAAAAGGGGCATGGAAGGCAGCTCAGAGAGAACGAGGGCGAGGGCGATACAATGATAATGCCAAGCATAATAACAGCCAAAACGGCGTCATCATAGCAACAACAACAATAACAATAAGAGAGAGAGCAAGAGACAGACAGCCAGAGAGTGAGAGAGAGAGAGGCGGCAGCTTCTCGCTTGGCTTCAACCATTTTTTTGGCCACAATGGGAATTGTCGCCAAAATCCTGCGAGCGTGGGCTTCAGCCCTTGCCGCGCTGTGGTTGTCCCTGTGCATGGCATTTTGCGATAAACACGATATGATAACATTTTACTATATATAAGTAAATATATATATATACATATATATATCTGTGTGTGTGTTGTTTGGGGTGTGCTGCTGCATATAGGAGCATGTGATCAATAGCTTAAATTGTGAATGGCTTCAAGACAATATATTATGGCAATATATCTGCCATAAATATATAGCATATGCATACTGAATAAGTTAGCATGTAAATAGCATATATATAGTATATTGAAACGGGATATATTATATATTGATATATTGATTATACTTAAGCTCATTAGCAGTCGTGAGTTTGGACTGTTGAAAACTGTTTAGTGAAGATAGAAATAATAAGTGTAGAAAAGTCTTGTAGATAAATTAATTAATAAATAAAAATATATATTTTATAGGTTTTGAATATGAGCTAATATTTCACATATATAGAGATTTATTTGATTTACATTAAATGTGCATAAAATATTAATTTTTAGAGCTGCGAAGCAGCCTTGCGTTATGCAAGAAAAATGAAGAAAAGCACAGGATAAAAAGGATTAAAACAGTGACAAATGGATGTGAATCATGTTTATCTGAATCATGTTCATCTCCTATATGTATACTTGAAGCTATATATAATCTATAAGTGGTACACAAAATGATCAAAATATTTGAAATATTTAAGTTAAAGTCGCAAAATGGTTTTGATATGAAAAATAAATATCGAAATTATACAGCAATACTAGAACAAGACTCTCAGATTACATGATTACTTGTGCACCCTGGTAAGTGACTAATTATAATATTCCCAAAGATGTTAAACTGCCCCTTGTTAAAGAAGAAATACAACTATATGCAAACAGATACATGAATAAACTACATAAGCACGACAATGCTCTAGGCGACTCAAAAGATTTCATGTCCTACCCCACAGAAATAGATAAATATGTAAAGTAGGTAAATATATGGATTGATCTCATTGGAGCCCAAGCCCTCCGGTTACGTAATGTTATTGTTAACAAAGTGGTTTATTGTCTAGACAGCAATTAAAAAAAATAAAAAATATGGTAAAGTTGACTATTTATAAATATACAAATATATGTATGTATGTCTATATATATACATAATACGATATATATATACATGCTTAATACAAGCTCTGTTTAAACAGTATTACGAATGTTCTACTTTCGTAGTTTCTTGTGGCATTATGTTCTATTTTGAATGCTGTTTTGCTAGGACTCGTTTTCGATTTTTGTCTATTCCAAAAATTCAGCACAGAATCTGTATCAAATTCTAGCTCAAATATAACACATAAAATATGCCTATTGCTCATAGCTGTGCTTTGTACTACCTACTCTTGTGCTATGAAACTGAAGAGGCTCAAGAATGGACGAGGCTACGTCACAATTGACGTCAGCAGACGAAAGCTGCAGCTGAATAAGATCACAAAAAATGATTTTCTTATGGCAAAAACAAACAGAGGCAACAGCTCATAGCTATTTGTGAGTAAATCAATAACTGTTGAGAAAACTTGAAATTTGCGTAACTTTTTGAGCACAGCTCGCCTATCTCTTGGTGGTTATATGTCTATATATGTTAGCTATAGTTTTATAGCCAAGAAAATTGTTAGGCATTTGCCTCTGCTGCGCTGCCATCCCTAGCAACTTAAGCTCACAAACGCACATCTCTAACGACTGCCTCGCCTTTCACTTATAAGAAAATATTGTGTTTTGCTTTATTTTGATTGTGTGTGTGTGTGTGTTTGTGTGTGTTTTATTTTTTGTATATGCTTTAAGCATTTTATTTGGCTTGAAAATATTGTTTCTTGTTCTGCTGCTGCTTCCACTACTTCTTCAGCTTGTTGCCAGCTTATTATGTATATACATATATATATATATATACATACATATACATATACATATATGGCCGCTTTTAACGTCTCTTAAAGTTGCACATTCAATAAGTACCCAAGCAACTGCGCGCAGGCAAATATAACATATATGAAGAAGGCGCTCTTGACGGAGCAACATAATTTGAAGCATTCTGAAGCACAAGTTTCTTTACAAGTTTTCATACAAAGGTATATATATTATATATATATATATACATATTTATATATATATAGAGTTCCTGTTTTGCATTAAAATCAACACAATTTTATTTAGTCGTGGCTTCTATTTAATGCAAACACATTTCAAATGTTGCCCGTCAGCTGGTTGACAACAAATTTCTGCTTCCTGGTCTGGCTTGTGGCTTGCCTCAGGTTGTGCATAAAGTGGGAGTATATTGGCTAGCCTAGAGCCTTTGCCATTCTATATACTCAAGTGTAGCCGCAGCTTATAGAGTGCTAAGGCAGCTTGCTTTGTTTGACTTCGCATTTTATATACATTTAGCTGCTTTGAACAAGTATTAGCTAGTCGGTTACATACATTAGTTCTCACTATCCATGCCTAGAGTCCATTGAAACTGTAACTGTAACTGTAACTGTTTGTTCGTTAGTTCGTCTGCAGTGTTCCGGGTATCTTCGAGTCAGGCACTTCCACGTGGAGCACACTTAGCTGACTTCGTGCCACTGACAGCCGACAGTGATTGCATTTAAAAACCAAAATGGATTTGCCAGAGAATAGCGCGTGTTTGGACTTCAGTGAAGTCTGTTTTACTTAATATTGAAGGGAAATTATTTTGAGGCTTGAGAAACTTTATTTCTTAAGCTTGGTATGTTTAGGAACTAGATACATATAAAGTGATTAGCTCTTGACTAAGGCAGATTGAATTGAAATTCAAGTTAAAGTCTTAATGAATTCATGTTCAAATGAACTTTGCGCTTTGTAGTTCATTTTGATGAACTTAAATGACTAAAAAAATAATTTTCTATATAGAATAAAATGTATATAAAAATCAAATTTCTATATAGAATTGTTAAGAGTTAAGAACTTTAGGCATAAGGTTAAAGTACAGCATTGAACTAGTTCATTTGTATAAGAGTTGAGCCATTGATTCAGATCTGTTCTAATAAGAATTTGGTCATGATTGTGTTGACTGTAATAGTATTGTGTTTCAGCTTATAACTTGAACCAAATCAATCATGCTTCAATATAAATGTCATAAGATATTGACTTGAATTAAGCCCATTTCATGCATATTAAAAATATATTTCATTGTTTTGTTTTAACTTAAACTTATGTAACACTAAAAAAATAGCTAGAATTTTGTATCTAGTATTACTAGGTATTGCTATATAATATATGATGACATAAGACTTGAACTTATAAAGATCACGCAGCGTAGCCTAGTCTATGGACTCTTGGATATTAGCATAAAAACTCGGAATGTACAAATTTCGCTGTAATTGTTATTGTCTAATGCACATTGAGCCAGGCCCAGCATAAAGTTGTGCCTCTGTGTGTGGCATTGTCATTGTCATGGCATGAAAAGCGCTGCTGCTGCTGTTGCAAAGCATAAATCCTTTTCGGGCCAGGCTGATGATGGCTGTTCTATGTTATATGAGGGATATATATGTGGGCGGGGCAGCTAGCGGAGATAGGTGGAATGTGGCACATATTTGTGTGACAGTTTTGTTGTTGGCTGCATGGTCTCACAGTTACGGTGCGCGCATGTGGCATGTGGCATGTGGCAGACAGGTAGCAGCTTTTAATATTTCTATTTTGCGCTGCCCCAAAGCTGCTTTAATGCCAAATGCCGCAAGAGTAGCAGCCACAGTAGCAGTAGTTGCCCCGCATATTTATGCATCAGCTGCTGCTGGGCTTTAGTATTGTTGTGTGTGTGCGCGTGCTGTGCGGGTGTTGCGTGATTTGTGTGTGCCCGCGGCAATTTGCTAGGCGAACGGGCTAAAATGCATTTTGTGCATTCGGTTTTGCTTACAGCGCAGCCGCAAAGTATGCAACGCAAAGGCCAACAAAGCGTTTTTTGTTGTTATCAGCACTGCGGGCGGGCGCATGAGTAACGGTGCATGCGTAAATAACGAGACCATCAAATTGTAGCTTAATAGCTATGATCTAGTTGGATTTGACTAGGGAAATATAATATCCAAACGGATAAGATTGTTGGATGTTCCAATTGGGCATATAGAACATGCCAACTAGATTGTCGAATTTCCTTTACATTGCAATTAAATAATATAAGGAACATAAAATTTCCCAAGTCAATGAAGAAACACTTTTTTAGCTGGGCATAAAAAAGTACCATATGACAGCTATAAGCAGCTGTGTTAGGCAGGGACATTTAAAGTACTTTGTTGGAACTGGTATTTATTTGGGCAATTACTAAATGTAATGTTTTGTGGGGAAATATAAGGGAAATATATTCATATAAAAGCTGACTGTAAATCAACTAACAAATTCCCTTTTGATATAGTTAAAATGAACTGTAAATCAATTGGTGAGCTAGTTACACGCTCAATGAGCTAGCTATAATCATCTCAGCAACTGCTATACAATCTGTAAACTAGTTTAATTTCAATCTGTTGACTCTTCTATGACTTGTTAATTGAGTTTTTTTTGCTGCTGCCAGTTGGCCTTTTGTAGGCAGAAAAGCAAACGACAGAAAAGAAAGTAAAGAAATTGTAAGCTGCATACTTTGCCTAACGCACAGCAAATTGCAATAATGTCAAGCATTTATGGCCAACAACAAAGCGAATTTGTGGAATTCGCTCAACTCGAACTCAAAGTCAAATACACACGCATCTACAAACACACACATACACGCGCGCACGCACACCTAAAACTCGGCACATCCGGCGCAACGGTCAACGTGAATGGCGTCGCGTTCCGGAAGTCGCTGAGTAGACTTCGTTCAAGTTGTTGTTACTGGCAGCTGGCGCTGCTTTTTAACATCATTCAGCAAGCCGCCCGCCGTGCCCCTGGCCTCCCCTGCTACAACTGCCGTTAATGAACAGCAGCCTGTGGCAGGTGAAAGCAGGAAAAGGTAAAAAAAAGTATGAAAGTAAAAAAAATGTAAGAAATGCGGCAAAGAAATCGCTTGGCCAAGTGCCATTTGGCGATTGCGATGAGGCGGCTGTCATGGAAGGGGGCGTGGTTCAACTTACTTTTTAGCAAATCCGCCAGTGTCGTAAAGTCGTTTATTTCAACTGTGGCGAGACGTAAATGAAGTTAATGTCTTCGTCCTCGACGTTGTCCTCGTCGTCGTCGTCTTCGTCGTTGGCGTTGGCGTTTTATGGCTGTCCTTGCTCTCGTTGGCAGCGACAGCTCCTTTAGCCGCTTTCGACTGTCTTTTGCTTATCGTTTCTCACTTTGCATTGGAACTGGACCAAATTTCGTTGACAATTGCTGTGCGTGTGTGTGTGGGAGAGGCCAATGCAGGTGTGATAATAAGTATAATGAGTCTCTATGCGACAGCTGAGCTCAATTCGCATTTCGGTTTAACGGCCTAAATTCTACGACTTTTTTTTACGAACTTTTCATTAGGCGCGTTTGTGCCAGCTGCTAATGAAGATCTAATGTCATTCAGCTTAACCTAATTGGATTAATCCTACAAAGTAGTCGCAGCAGAGCAGCAATCAACTTAACTACCTGTAGCTCAGTTGTGTTAAATGCTTGATAGTTAGCAGGCTGTGCCTTGACTGAAACGTATTAGTTTCTATTTATATTAACGAAGCTTTAATGAGCTTTACTGCATTTAAGAAGATTTTTGTTTGAGCTGCAATATCCTATAAATATGAATTGAATTTAATCTTGTTTAATGTTGCTTTAATAATACTTAAGCTAAGCTTTTATTTAGTATAAAAGCTTTACGAAGCTTTTCAAATTAGTTAGATCAAGTATGAACACAATGCTTAAGCTTTAGGCTTCATTAGTCTCTTAAAGAGAGTTATCACTTCAAGTTATCAACTCAAGTTTAATCATTGCTTTAAGCAGCTTTCATTATTTATTCTCAGATTTGTTAAGATTAGCTGAAGATTTTATGTAACTTCGAGCCATTCAAGTTGGAGTTCGACATCTGTGCAGATGTAAACAGTACTTGAACTGGTTCAGTTCCCACTTTAAGAAGCTTTAAGCTCAATGCTGATAGCAAGTGTCGTAGAAAGCATTTATATATGTTCTACTACAGCTCTTATCAAGTTTATCTTGTTAAGATGACTTTTTTGTAGCTTTTATTTCAAAATTTTAATATCTATGCTGATGAAAGTAGAATTTAAAATTATTTTGAAGTGACTTTTGGAAGCTTTAAGCTTAATAAAATGACATGGCTTAACATGCTAGACAGTTACTCGTGCTTAAGTAGAGTAAGCTCAACTCGTATGCCTTAATTTCGAATGCCATTTCACTTAAGTTTAATCTTAGCCTCAGTTAGGAGTTTCAGCTGGTGTCATTTGAGCAGCAGGGGAAGCTGGAGGCCAACAGTCGCTCAGCTCTGACAGACAGTCGGATAATTATGCCCGTAACTGAGCGACTAACTGATATCGTCTGACTCCTTTTCCAGTGGCTGCTTTATTAAATCTAATGGCTGCTGTGGTTGCTGCCTGTGTGCTGTGGGCTGTGGGCTGTGGGGCTGACGGGTGTGTATAAAAGGGGGCGTGTTATGACTGTTGCGGCATTACAATAAATAACAAACAGAGCAGAGAGCAGCCGGAACAACACGCAGCCAGCGACTCGCAGGCAGTTAATAGTTGCTCTGCGCGCCATTATATAAACATGACTTTGACTCGGAGTCCGCAGTTGGAGATAGAATCGGATCTGGCAGCTCGATTTGACTTTAGCATCGCGCCACAGCGCCAATTTTGTTGCTGCCTTTTTTTTTGGCACAGATAATCAGGCAGCCTGGCAGGCAGGCAGGCAGACAGCTGTGTGTGTGCGAGTGTGTGTACTTTGTATCAGCCTGGCCACATTGTCAATATATACACACGCTCTTGGCATTGGGGCTAAGCTGAGCAGCAACAACATCAAAGCTGCCCGCCAGTCGCCAAGGACTTCAGCAAGCAGCAAGAGTAAGAGTGGAAGTAGCAGAGATTTGCGGGGAGACACAGAGAGAGAGAGTGGGAGAGAGAGCGACTCACGAATGCGTATAAACGTTGAATATTTCATAAATGCAAAAAGGGATAATATTAAAACGTGAAACGCGCCCAACAGCCTGCAAAGCAAAAATAGCTCTGACTATATATAAACTAATGCCCTATTTAAATCGGTCTAAGTATATTAAAAAACTCTTCGAAAACACATGCAAATTTGGTGCTCAGCTAGAGTTAAATAAAAGCTGATTTATCTGCAGATAAGTCTTTATATCAGGTTTGTAAGCAAGTTTATTGGATATGGCATTAAATGCGACTAAAAGTAACTAATCTGAGATAGATGCTGTCAGTACTTTGCATATGATATCATCAATATTTCTGTCTATATAAATTTGTATCTAAAATTTTTTATATATTTTCTATCTATTGATTGATGGATAGCTCTTGATAGGAATTGGTGAAAATCTTACTTGCTTTACATAGGTATAGAGATATACACTATATATAAAATAAATAAATATACTAGATATATACTATACTCTATTTACATCTATTATATATATAAACAGAGATATATGATACTAAAATTATTTTATGTGGAATATTGAAATATGAATATTTGTATCTTTATCTAAACGGAATATCCTTACTTGCTACATTTCTTTTCGATTCTAGACTGAAAACTGTACATATACAAAAATGTATATGTTGATTGATCGAAAATACTATTTTGGAATGTCAGCATGAAACTATTATAAAATATCTGAGTAAATTTAAAATTTAATACTTTATAAGGTGGCCATCTCTATATATATAGCGAAAGTCTATAAACATCAATATCATAGCTGGGCTTAAAGTTCTCTATAAAATTAACACATTTAATTTGTAATCTAGTTTTATCAAATAAAAAATCTATTTCTATATCTATCAGTTTTTAAAAATTTTATTTATGCAAATCTTATCTATTTGATTAAAGTATATTTCTATAATTTTTAATGCCTTTTAAAAAATAAAAAAAAATTGAATAAATTTAGCTATATCAAATTTTAACTATCTAAAGGTGTAAACTAAAGTTGCTTTATTATTTTTTTATTATTAAACGTATAAAAAGGTTTTTAATTTTCAGTTTAAATATGAAGCTCTTATTTACATATTTAAGCAATTTAGATTTTTTTTCCCAAAAATTAAATCAAATGATTTAATTTTTTACACAAAAATATCTAACATATGCACAAGCTTGAGCTTAATATTTATTGAACTTGATTTTTCAAACTTTGAAATTTGAGTAGATATTCTGGAATTCTGGCTAAAAGTTAAACTTGCTTGAAATTTGGAAAAAAAAGTGAATTTAAATTAAAGAATTTTTCTGATATTTAAAAGCTAAAGTCAAATCGAATCGAATGAACATGCAAAATGCGATCATAAGGCACTGACAGAAATAAATTGGAGTATGTTGAACAAGTCACTAAAGGCTCAACTCGTTTTGTTTATATTTTTAATAATGTTCGGCTCGACGCTCCTCAGATATTTTTGCTGATAAATTGAAACGGGCTGACAAGAGTTCCCCAAATGGGGTTCCCCAAACGGGAACGCTACAAGCGACATCAGGGAATTGTCTTTTTTGTTTTCTTCTTCTTCTTTTTTGTTTGTCCTGATGTTGATGATAAGAACCTGAGAGAGCCCTAGAGCTCAAAGCTGTATTTTTAAATTTATTTTTTTTTACTTTGAGCCAGGGCGAAAAATGATTTTTTATCGTGTATTATTTATGCTGGCTCAGCTGTCAATTGGCATTAAGCGATAATAATTTATAGATGAATAACAATCTAAGCGGCTTTATAGCCAACCAAATGTCTGGCTAATTGTGTGGGAGGCAGAGGGTATTTGGGTGTGGGGCGAAGGTGCGCAATTAACGTGGCCTAAAGCCAACCACGCTCGCCTAAAGGCTAACGCGTTATCCTTACACACACACACGCACACACACACGAACACGTAAACATAAGCACTGTCGAAACGTAATAATTTAATACCGTTAGTAACGTAGAGCGTGACGTAAGCGCTAGCGTGCGTTGCCTTTGGCGTGCTGCCTTCAACTGATTGTGGCAAATTATGAATCTGAATGTGATGCTGCTTCCAGCTGCTGCTGCTGCTGCTGCTGCCGCTGCCGCTGCTGCTGGTGCTGCCAACATTCTTCCTTTACTATTTTTCGGAGTCTCACGTCTCGTTTCGGTGCATGCAACTCGTGGCACTGGGGCACTGGCACAGCCAAGCACTGCGCATGCTTCGTGAGAATCGCAAAGAGAGGCCACTTAATATGGCAGAGAGCAGAGCGGGGTGGGCAGGGTACTAGGTTAGTTGGGCTAAGCGTAGGCCATATAAAGCAATTGATATTATTACTAAAAAAATTGGAAGACTAATGTATATAAGATTTATTGCTTGATACCCTGTAAAATGAGGGCTAAGTGAGGGAATAAATATATTTATATTTTTATTAATTTATTATTAAACAAGTATCTTGTAAAGGAAGCTTAAGTCTTCTGACATTATGTCAGATTATGAAAACAAATACGAGCTTATATACACTGTAAAATGATTAAGTTTGAAGATAATCCCACAAGAAATTAATTTTTAAAAATTTGTTCTTTATCAAAAAACACACGCATATACCCTGTAAAATAGGCCTTGCGTATAAACTGTAAAATAATCATGCAGTACATGAATTCAGTCTTATTGATATGTTCAGTAAAGCTACCCTAAGCGATTTGCTTATATACCCTATTAATACTAAAACAGCTGCTTATATACCCTGTAAAAACAATATTAATTACAAATTATTTTGGTTTGTATACCCTATAAAACAAACGATCTCTATAAGCGCAGCAAGTTCTGTATACCCTGTAAAATTGTATAAAAATATCTATGCTAGATTATCTATTTTGACCCCACTGTGCACTCTGATTGTAAACTGTGCCCATTTCGGAGTAAACAGTAAACCAGGGCTGCCTATGCTCACACGAACTCACACGCACACACGCACACATAGGCGCAACGACTGTGTCACACACACACACACATGCACAGAGAGCGACAGACAGGCACTCATCAGTCGTAAAAACTGTCGTTGAAGTTTGCGTTCAGTTTGAATTGTGTTTGGTTTAAAAACGCATCAAAATTGACATTTAAAATGTCAATTGTTTTACCAACAATGTGTTCCACTCCACGCAAGGCTCTCTCGCTCTCGTCTAGATACCCATCAATTGGAATGGCAACAGAGCTTTTACTAAATTTACTTATAGTTAAGTCGCAGCCTTAAGCAGCAAGCAACAACAACAAAAACAAAGCCAAAAACAAAACAATAACAAGCCAAAGTCGAAGCTTTAAGACGTGAATTTTAATTAAATTCAAGAATTTTAATGCTATTTGGCGTTAATTTAATTAGCAAATAACCCTGTCGAAAGACGGAATGGCGCTTATGTATATACATATATATGTATATATATAAATATATATGTTGGTATATTAGGTATATTTGCAGCGAAGTCTTTAAGAACATTTGTAGCTTGACTCATTTCACAGTAAAACTTAAGTGTCAAAAATTATTAAATTAAATCTTTTTTGTGGATTAAAGTTTTGCCTGAAGCACCCAGAATACTACTTAAATCAAGAAGTTTTTAAAAGAAATTATATTTCAAAACATTAAAATACAATTTAAAGAATTTTACTAATTTTAAATAACATATCTTATATTTCTTCATATCTTATATTTTTTCACAGGAATCATTTCCTTTAAAAATTAGTTTTTATTAAATATTCACAATCGACTTGAGATTTTGTGTGCTAAAACATATTTTAATTCAGTTGACTAAACATAATAAATATTTTAAATAAAACTACTTATGCTGAAACTCAAAATAAAAAAAACTTTTAAAAAACTTGTATTCTAAAAAAATGTAAGTGAAATTTTTTACTGCAAGTTTCTGAAAACTTTTATCGAATCCAGGTTACCTATGTTTTTAAACTAAGGAATTTTGGGTGCTTAAACTAATTGCAAAAAGTTTATTTTAGGCATTTGATGCCCAAAGCTCTTGTTTTGCCTTGAGATTAAAACTGCATTGATAGAAAAATGTTTACTAAAAATAATAAATTTCCTAAACTAGAATGAACTTGACAATTAATTTAAGTCAATCTTTTCTTTCTTTTATTTTGAAGACCTTATTCGCTGGCCTTTAAGAAGTATGTACTTAATTCAGGTAAAACTATTTTCAATAAAAACTTATGGCAACTGCGAAAAAGGTTTTTATTTCATGAAAATTAAAAACATATGAAAATGAAATTTTTGAATAAAATTTATGGAAGCGATTTTCGCTTGAAATGTGCGTTGCATGCGTCGGTTGCAATTGGAAACGCAGTTGTGTTGCACAGATTAACAAATATTTGACTGCCGGCATATGGGAATCAATTGAATTGAATTCAATTGGATTGGATTGAGGAATCGCACTCAGTCGTGGTCTGCAAACAAATACAATTTATTGGGCCAGAGTTCAGTCAATTGTGCACGAATCGAAACGCAATATTAATAATAATAAAGTTTTTAATACTCCTCGGTCGTAAATACAAAAATGGACAGACACTCAGGCAGAGAGACTGGCAGGACGTGAAGTCCTTACCGACAAGGAGGGGGCGAGTGGGAGAGGGAGCGAACGTAGCTGAAAAGATTTATGAGCCGTCGAAGCACTTGGGAATGCGCATAAATAAATATCGATGACAATAATGAGTGCGTCAATTATTAATGCTGAATGCCTGTTATGCAATTAACAGTGATCGATAAAACACTTCACAGTCAACAAGCACACCAAGCACACATACACAAAACATTTATCATAAAAGTCAGCAAAGCCAAATTAAAGCCCAGCATAAATATCTAGTTAATGTTTTATGAGTTGAATTCAATTTACTCTAGAACAATAGAATTTCATACATAACAATATATATATATATATATATATATATATATATTTGAAGAACTTTCCGATTCTATTATTAGCAGTCTAAGCTCTCTATAGATTTTACTTCTGCTTCTTGCTATTCTTGATGATTGGCACGAAAAGTTGCCACTGGCTAAACTAGACAAATAATTGTTAAAGGAATTACGACATTTTATATTATATAACAAGCAAGTCAAGCTATTTTTACTTTACTTTATACTTTTTAAGCAACCCTCGTATATACTTTCTCGTATATCTTTAATCACTAGTCGTCGTATAGCAAACTACATAACTAGTTTCCTGCTGCGCCATAGATAGGGCTGCATGCGGAAGTCAGATAAGATGTCTAAACGAACTCAACAATAGATGGCGCCACAGTCACTTAAGCTCACAAATTTCACTTGAGCTGAGGCACTTCGATTTTTCGTTTTCTTCAATTTTTCGTTACACTTCTTAAGACATTCGTTACACTTGGTCATTTAAAAGAAAACTTATTGAATCTCTAGATCAACGTGAGTCTAATTTTGGGATTTTGTGCTGTGTATATTGATGTCTATAGATTTGTTTATTGGATTTATTTGCGTAAATTGCTTAGCTTAAAATGTGTAAGCCACAAGTGTAATTCTCTAGGTAACCAACCCCTTTGAGTGTCTGGAGCTTAACCAGCCAAGCTCAACCCCTCAATATAGATAGTCCTGATCTGTAGTTGTTTGGCCGCGTTCTGTAGTTGTGAAACCCTCTTCGTTCAGAAGGCCGCAGTCCTCTTTGACGCTGGTGAAGGGGCAAAGGTTTTTGAATTCGCTATCTGCAGCGCCGCACTTACAGAAATTGGCAGGCGTCTTACCTATGGCATAGGTAAAAGAGTTTTTGGGCTTACTGCAACCATATAAGCATATCATCAGCTGGACATTCCATGATTCCTCTTTGAAGATGGAAATGGCGCAGCCAACGCGACTATTCATGCCGGTTATGAGTTGCAAGAAGTGGGATATTTCATGACTGCCGCATCAATAATGAAATCAATTTCACTCATTTTGATCATATTTTCAGTTACTTGCATATTTCTTACCCGGCGCGCGTGGTGCCCGACAGCAGACTCGCCGCATCCACATAGATGTACTGGTCGTACCACGTCTTCAATTGTGATTTCACTATTTTAAGTACATCCTGTTTCTGGTCACTGGGATATTTGTTCAGGATCGCCGTGTAACCGGGCTTCGAGGCGAGCGTCGTTGTGAAACTTTTCCTAATTGGATCCATGACGCAACGCTTTGCCGCCAGCTGGGCCAAGTCGGCCAAAGACTCATCCCAAGCCAACTTATTCATGCGTCCAGCTGCCGGCAAATTATGAAACGTGCCCCTGGCCACAATGTTGCGATAGGTATTCATTAGCCGCACGATTGTTGTCGCCATGCCCGTTGAGATATTAACCATTTGAGCGTTATCCTTGCATTTGGCGCCCCATTGCTGTGAATTCAAGTTGCTTCGATCGGTCCAAATGGAGCTTATTAAATGCATTTTACTCACGTTGTTATTGTTGCAGCCCAAATGCGGCTGCTGCGGCTCATGGCAGTACTCAGGTGAATCGTATTTGGGCGGATGCTTCGAGTGGCAGTCTCCTGTATTCCTGAAATCACAGCGGACACAGCCAAGGATCACAGCACTGCAAGTCAACAACAACAGGTGGCGCCACTGCATAGCTACAAGTCTCATTAAGCCAAATCTTGCGCAGCTGGGCTCTATATAAGCATGGCTCGCCGAGCCATCCGAATTGATTTGAGCCACCTACGGCTTTTAGACACGGATTTAGACATTAATAATTCTATAAGCCATGCTAGTGAGAAGAATGTTCTTAAGGCTCAGAACTAAACATTGCCACAATACTTTTGTCAGCCTCAATAGCCTTCACGTGGCTTACACCTAAAGTTGTTAACAACTTCGGAACAACTTCATAAATATTAATAATCTAATATGAACTCAATGCTAGGCAGAACTCGCCTTAGACTCTATTCAAGATTTGATCTGAAATTTTTACTTGTAATCTAAAAACCAAAAAGTTAACAACTTTAGGTGTTGCTACCTTTAACTGCATCTATTGAAATAATTCATTTTTGGAAATTCTCATTTCTCTCTTTGAGCACAAACATTTTACCATATTGTTTACCTAATGAACTCAGAATCAAATATTCGTAGCCATTATCAAATAGCGAACAGTCATCGGCGGCCAAGATAAGCCCATGCAATAGATAAGCTAGTTTGAATATATTTCTAGAGGTGGTTTGAAAAGTTTTCGAGTGTTCGTAGATAGAAGTAGAAACTGATTTCATTGTTTGTAGAATAACATTTCTCAAGTTAATATTTTCTTTACAATGCAGCTTATACCTCATACCATAACTTAAAAATAGAATATATAAACTATGTTAATTAACATAGCAAACAAATGTTTACATAATGTTATTGACTCTTGCCCAAGTAAACACTTTTATGGAACAGAGAAGTCGAATATTAAAGAGAGCATCAGTTGGTAATGTTAGTAATAGCTCCTAATTTGGCTGCTGTTAATTAACATAGTTAACTAATGTTACAGTGAAACAAGTTCAGTAGACTACATGAAATTAATGTTAATATAGTTATGTCTATATATTGAAGGAGAGCAATTGGTACTGTTAGTTAACATAGATATTGTAAGTTAGACACTGCAGCTTCATAACGTTATTAACAGACCATGATACAGAGGCTGTTATTTAACATTGCAAACAATTGTAACAGACAGTTAGGCTTAGATCTAATAACATTAAGTGGTACTATTAGTTAACATAGATCTCAAATGTTAAAGACTCTGATATTTTATACTGTTAGCAGAATATGGTTATTTGAATTAAGATGTTATTTCCAGCGCTGTTATTTAACAGAATCATTGAATGTTAAGCAGAGCGTCACTTGCCAATGTTAACACCGTTACTGTTAATGTTAAGGTTCGTCAGTTCAGCAAACTTCTGGAACAGCCCACGCATCAATCAAAGATTAAACACCTGTTTCCATAGAAAATACTAAGTCTAGACAAACATTTAGTTATTAAACTTTATATATATGTAGAAAAAATGTAACACAGACTTAAGTTATTTAGTTGGAGCTTAGTCTAGGCAGAAAGTTGCTTGGATTTTAGTGAAAGTTCTCCTGGCGATTGGGTTCGATGGTGACACGAGCATAGGGACTGCCGGCGCCCACCTTGCGGCGCATGGTGACACCTCGATGTGGTCGCAGTCCCATCACAATTAGATAAACGCCCGCGGAGCAAAGTGCGATGAGAGCGAGAATAATCATGCCGTATGCCCATCTGGGCCACCTTTCGCAGCTGAACTCATCGCGACGCACCGAGGAGATGAGCAAGCCCCTGACTCTGGCCGGCCGCAGGCAGCGCCCATTCGTTTGGATGGCTAGATCCTTTAGCCAGACTAGCTGGCAGTCACAGTGAAGCGGCACACCATTGAGATCCAGCTGGGTAAGTTGCCTAAAAACCGGTGACAAAGTGACATTAAAATTACGCAACATAGTGCCACGAAAACTGAGCGTGCGTAACGGAGGCAGCGTCAAGTTGCCATCGAGCGGCACGAAGGCCTCCCCATCCAGCCAGCTGAGACGACGACTGTTCTGGAAGCTCATTTCCTCCACGTGCTGCAGCTGGGCGAATGCATGCGCTGCTATGCTCTGCAGCAGTGGCATGTCCTCCACATAGAGCTGCTGCAGCTGGCTAAGACGGGCCGTGTCCACCGGCAGCAGATGCTCCAACAGATTCTCGCTTATATCCAGGCGCTCCAGCTGCCTGGGCAGCTGGCTGGGCACACGCACGAAGAGATTGCGACGCAGCGAAAGCTCACGCAAAGGCGCCTCAATTGGCAGCTTCAACTCACTCAAGCCGCACGCATCCAGACGCAATGTGTTCAGTTTCGGATTGATGTCATAGCTGCTGTAGAGCTCGACGCCATTGGTTTGATTGAGCTGCCGGTTCCAGGAGAGCTCCAGCGTCTGGAGCACCAGCAGCGGTGCAAAGATCTGGCCGGGCAGCGCGTGCAGATTGTTGTGAGCCAAATTCAAGACCTGCAAATGTGGCAAGCCTGCGAAAGCTTGCGGCTCCAGCAGCTGGATGCTGTTCCAGCCCAGGTACAGCTCCTTTAGGCTGAAAACGCGAGCGAAATTGCTCGAGGCGATGCTGCTAATGTTGTTGTGCATCAAGTTGAGCAAGCGCAGGCTATCGCTGTTCAAGGCGGGCGCACGATTCAGCTTGTTCCACGACAGATCCAACGTATCAATGTAGAACGGCAGCAGCTCTGTCAAATCGTCCGCCTTGAAGTCCTTGTAGCTGCAATCGATGTGCAGAGCTCGCATGCCCCAAGGCGAGGCACTCACATTGCTGCACTCGCAGCTGCGGCGAGTATTCTTAAATGCAGCCGGATAGCAAAAGCGATCCACATCCTCATCGTTGGCATCGATGAGCTCGCTGCGGCTTGCACCCAGCAAGAGCAGGCAGATTAGCATCAACAGACTGCGACCAAAGTTCGATCTGTGCGTCATTGTCAACGTTAGCGGCTTCGTCATGGAGTTTCGAGTTTGACAGAACTACTACTGCCAGCAATCAGGTATTGGATTCATTTGCTGCGACACTGCCACTCGATTTGGTGATAAGTGTTTTATCTTATCGTTCGGTGTCAAAAGCTCTGCGACTTTGCAGCGCAGCCCACGGCAAATCGCCGAAAGCCCAATAAGAATGCAGAGCGACAGTAATAAATGTTATGTTTACCTATATAAATATAAATACTTGTGCTTAATGCTGTTCTAATAGTTTAAGGTTTTCGATTACCGAGAGGAAAAGAGCGAGTGCGAGAGCCAGACATAGGGACAGGGCTCAATAGAAGTCTTATGTGGAATAAACTTAACCGAAGCATTGTTCTTATTGAGTTGTCTGCAGTGTAATTGGCTCTATGATTATAATTGGCATTTATTCAGTATTATTATCATTATCATTTTCAATTTTGTACTCATTATTATTATCATTATTATTGACAATATCATAAATGAGAACCGTAATTGTCATTATCATTGGAATTATCATTAGCATTATTATTGTCATTGTCATTGTCATTGTCATTGTCATTGTCATTGTCATTGTCATTGTCATTGTCATTGTCATTGTCATTGTCATTGTCATTGTCATTGTCATTGTCATTGTCATTGTCATTGTCATTGTCATTGTTATTGTCATTGTCATTGTCATTGTCATTGTCATTGTCATTGTCATTGTCATTGTCATTGTCATTGTCATTGTCATTGTCATTGTCATTGTCATTGTCATTGTCATTGTCATTGTCATTGTCATTGTCATTGTCATTGTCATTGTCATTGTCATTGTCATTGTCATTGTCATTGTCATTGTCATTGTCATTGTCATTGTCATTGTCATTGTCATTGTCATTGTCATTGTCATTGTCATTGTCATTGTCATTGTCATTGTCATTGTCATTGTCATTGTCATTGTCATTGTCATTGTCATTGTCATTGTCATTGTCATTGTCATTGTCATTGTCATTGTCATTGTCATTGTCATTGTCATTGTCATTGTCATTGTCATTGTCATTGTCATTGTCATTGTCATTGTCATTGTCATTGTCATTGTCATTGTCATTGTCATTGTCATTGTCATTGTCATTGTCATTGTCATTGTCATTGTCATTGTCATTGTCATTGTCATTGTCATTGTCATTGTCATTGTCATTGTCATTGTCATTGTCATTGTCATTGTCATTGTCATTGTCATTGTCATTGTCATTGTCATTGTCATTGTCATTGTCATTGTCATTGTCATTGTCATTGTCATTGTCATTGTCATTGTCATTGGCATTGTCATTGTCATTGGCATTGGCATTGCCATTGTCATTGGCATTGGCATTGCCATTGTCATTGGCATTGGCATTGTCATTGTCATTGTTAATGTGATTTTCATTATCATTATCATTGTCGCTAATATTTTCATTATCGATATCCAGATTATTACCATCTTCATTTTCTATATCACTATGATGACCATTTTATTATAATTTTCTTTATTAATAACATCTTCATTTTCATTATCATTATTATTAAAAATATTCTGATATTAGTTTTCCTTCCATTTGCATTGTGTTGTTTACATTTTAAAAGCCTTTACACCTGTGACGTCATACCTTGAACACCTCTGAAGACGCCGCATAGTTTGTCAATAAATTTTCTTAGCATTAGCCCTCATTGAGTTGGACATATGCTGAACATTCATTTGGCACTCATTCCAGTCAACGCACTCATTCAGGCTGTTAGTCATGTGTTGGGTTCCGTTCAGGTGTGTTGCATTGAAATGTCTGATAAGATAAGGAAGCGAGCTTTTATCTTATTCAGCTCTCCCGCTCCCGCTCTCGTTCTCGCTCTCGCTCTCTTTGTATGTGGCGCTCTTTGTTTTGGTCTCATATCATTTATCTAGTTCATTAATCATGGCCCATTCCGGACATAAGCTCTGGACATGGGCAAAACAAAAGAAAAACATTTCATGTGGCAACCGCTGACACACACATCGCATTGAGCCGCATTGAATATTGATGAAAATTGTTTGCCTTTGCCTTAAGTTGTTAATACTCTTACTTGCTATCTTATTTTCTCCCACTCTCTTGCTCTTTCTCTCCCTCTTTTTTTTTAATACCAGCTCAAAAGTTGGAACTTAAGCCCCGCCAGCGATTTACATGCTGACTTGATATTGTTTAGGTCTTATCCGCTTGGGCTTTGTGCGTTGCTGTGAAGCGCGAAATCAACTTAAAGACTAATTACGGCGAGATAGACTTTTCGAAAGCGACATTTCGAATAATGCATACCCTGTAGAGGGAGCGAAATGAAACTGGTTAGCAAAACAAATTTGACTGTTGCAGTTGTTTATCATTGACTGCATTACATCTAATATATAGTGCATCATAAAATAATTTTTGGTAAGTCTTAAGAAGTCTGAAGAGTCTGCAGTTTGCAGCTCTAGCTCCAAGCCGTTGGCAGACACAGTTTTTGTAGGCAATTTGCTACGCTCCCCAGAGACATGCAGTTTTGTTCACAAAAATAGTAGTGCTGCACTACATAAAACTTAAGCCAAATGAAGCTATTAAAATAATTGTTTGACCAAAATATATATGTTAAGCAGAATATATGAAATTAGCCCAATGTTAAATTGCTTTTTATTTTTATTATTATAAGTCACTACTATTTTTATGAGCAACTAAATTTTTAGAATTATTTCTGCTTAAGCTTTGAAGTGCACACGTCATAGACTTTAATAAATCAATTTTTTTTTAAATTATTTCAGTTTTCTTTAAATGCCAATTTTCAGCAAAGTATTTGCATTTTCATGCCAGTTTTTCCACTCTGAAATGCGTTTTCGTTAATTGAAGAATTTCGCACAGTAGAATTTTCACTAATTAACATTGCAATTCTTTACGCATTTTTCATTCTTTGCAAACTTTTTACACTTTTTCTTTTACAGCTGGACGTTTTCCATTTCCTTTGAGAATTTCCCGCTGCTCTATAAAGTCGAAGGTATGCATATTTTCATATTAATTTATGCCTTTCAATACGAAATGCAATTGTAAATCAACTTGTTGGGACTGTCAATGGTAAATTGATGAGACGCACAAGCACATAAGCATATGAATGTACACACACACACTTACACACACACATGCATGTGCACATACACATACGCGCGTTAAATTTACATAAATTAAAGACTTTCATGGAAAACTGTTGCCCGCTCTTGACTTTTGTGCGTAGACGAAGCATCGAATTACAGCGAGGGTGAAAAAGGTAGAAGAAATAAGAGCAATGGGTGTGTGTGTGTGTGTGTGTGTGTGTGTGTGTGTGTGTGTGTGTGTGTGTGTGTGTGTGTGTGTGTGAGTGAGAGGGGAGCTACCCCCTGGAGTAGCTGAAATGAGCACATGTAAAGCTTTTAATGAGCTCTGTTGCCAGCTGTCAAGTGTGTGTGTGTGTGTGTTGTATTTGTGAAAATGTTGTAAAATGCCAGGCACATGTTTTACGCTTCACACACACACACACACACTGTCCACGCACTGTCATTATCACAGGCAAATTTATTTTCAACTAAAAACTCATTAATTACATTGAAAAGCTGATTACGCACGTGTGTGTGTGTGTGCGTGTGTGTGTGCATGTACTTAACAATAATTATGCACAATTTAATTAAAACCCAATTTGGCGAGTCAGTGCCAAGGGATCTAATGGAATTGTTAATTAATAGGCCAAATTCAAGTGCCATTTCAACAAATTGTAAAACATTTTTCATTCTTCTTTTTTTTTCAAACTTTTCAGCAATTTGAATTTTTTTAAAAAATATTTGAAAATAAAATCAGCGCTAAACGTGCAGCAGTCAAAAGGTAGAAATTCAGGCTCGCACACACACACACACATGCACCTGTGCACTGCAGCACGTGTTGCATATTTATGAATATTTTTATACTCGTTCGCGCTGTAAACAGAGAGTACAATGTCTGTCTGTTCGTGTGTATACTATAGCAGCTAGAGGCTGGAAATATACTTGATGCTATGCGTCCTGTTCTTCTCTGTATAACGAACTAACGAACACTTTAATGCAGTCCTAAAATACTATAACTGCCTCAAAGAGACAAAGACACAAAATTTCACAAAAAACTTACTCTGAGTAGGTCAACACCCCTAAGAGAAGTCTGTAAGTGCGTTGACATATGTGTTTAAGTTTTTGGAAATCGCGGCATATGGTCAAAATCTATATCTTCTACAGTTTTTAGAGACAAATTGCCAATTTGACAAGTAATTTGCTGTAGATTCCCTCTATAGATTGACTACAAATTACACGTATAAGAGTTTTGGGAGGCTTGATAAATCCATTTACTAAGAGCTTGAATCGCTAAGTCTTACAGCTGAATCATTGAGGAGCGCTTAGTAGATTGACCCACCGACTATGGGGTCCCTCCTCTATGGATGCCTCAACTATTGTTGGCAGGTGAGCGAGTATTACGCAGTTGGTTTCACGCGACTTATTTTAAATATTAAATTTATTGCTGGCGAAGGGCTTAAAGTACTGGCATGGCAACGCCCTGCCACAAATGGTGGCATACAGGCAATGCAAATGGAAATTCAAATGAAAATCGAAATGGGAAAATCATTAAAAAGTCTCTGCGCGTTATCCGGCTGCGATTGACTTTAATGCAACAGCTGCATGTCAGTTGACAGCGCTGTAAAATGCACAAGAGAAACAGCAAGACACACACACGCACGCACACACACGCACACACACACACACACACACACACACACAAATGCGTACCCACATCAATTGTTGTTCGAGCTGTACTAATTGAATCACTTGTCATGCATTTTGTCTAATAATAGCGCATTTTAAATGCAAATTACTGTAATGCATTGCATTTTATTGAGAAGGCGGTAATGGCCAGAGGTGGGCGTGGCGCAACCACATCCGTTTACCGGAAGTGGCTGTGCGCCACTTGCCACAGCTGGAACAGCAGCAGCTGCAAGTGGCATAAATGCCTGCATTATGCACACACACACAGAGACAGAGCCTGCAGCTGCGT